ATAAAATACGAGGAAAATGGTTGTCAAATGCTTTCTTGAAGTCGAACATGGACTGTAATTAATGAAAATTAAAAGATTTCGAGTTGCTTGGGTGCTTGGGTCCTTCCTGTTATCAATTTTCGTTTGTTTATTGTTTATAAGATTCGCCCGTATGAGGGCTTGGCGGGCTTGGCCTTAGTGCCTAGCACAAACAGCCACTGACAAATTGGATTCGTTTGTTTACGATCCCGGCGTTGGGAGCGTTGGACGTTTTCGATGGCCGATGCTCAGTCGGCGCTGCGCAGCGCTGCGACAATCCTATTGGCTACAAATGTGACGTCATTCGTATATTAGGCGAGCGGGATTTACAAAAATGCGCAGTCTATTTACGCAAATATCTCGCTTATTAGTTGGTTTCATGAATTCCCGTTTGTACCATTGAATTCTACGCGAAATTCTGATGCAGGTTCATGTGCTTAGAGCCTCCAGTTCTTACCCTGTCTAGAGGCCTCATTATAACTTCCTTGGCTCATTCGAACATGAGAACAACCTATGTGGTATCAGTTTCCCTTTGTAGATAAGTGCTTTCACGATCTCGTTAAGCGTGTCTAGCGCCTCTATCGGTGAAATCTAGAAACTCTTCTCATCAACTTGGCAGCCTCGCTGCAGCAGATGTTTACAAATCAATCCTGTTATTAATTTTAGGTTATTTCATTTCACTTCTCGTCTAATTTCTAATTCTGAAAGTATTTTCTCCTACTTTTTCTCGGCTGAAATTGGTTTCAAGTCTTCAAAATTGTTTGTAAAATCAGAAAATTATTTTCGTCATATTCGGCGAAGTCAGTAAGGTGAAGTTCTTAATAAATGCAAGCATGTGTTTTTGCCACCCTGCAATGATTGAATGGTAAGCTCTTTAGTCGCTCAGTCGCTCTTACAGCGTAAATAATATTGCTCTGCCCCCCACAAATCAGTGATATATTTGGTTGTCTTCCTCTTCGATTCATCATCTCATTGTTTTGAGTTTTCTTTGGATATCTTGTATCTCTTAACTTTGATACTTCCCTTCTATTGTTCGACATGGATAGGACATATTTGCATGTATTAGCCAAAAAAATTGAAACCCTTCAAAGGCCCTAATACTTATAGCCTTTGGATAACAGGTCCAGGTTGAGACTTTCACTCTAGGGGCTTCACAGCTAAACCATGGGAACATTTCACTGGCTGGTGAACAACAAGATGAGCCATTGTTGGACCCTTCAGCTAAAAATGTCTTTGTCAGGCCTTGAACTGTTTGATGCATTACTGAACAGCCAAGAGGAAAGTAAGGTGAGTGTTGCTGGAAACCTATACTCAGAAAGAACAAATCCGTGTAGCTTAAGGTTTTCCATTTCTTGTGAGCCAGATATCAAATCTATCATCATGATTGCCATTGATGGATGACGTTGACTATTACGATCTTTTGCCCCTTCCTCTTGGATTAGTTTGGTCGCAGATCTACAAATTACTGATTACACCATCGCCCCATATAAGTTAAAACTCTCAGTTTGTAAGGTTCATTCCATGCGAAAGCAGCGAGAGGTTATGCATGACCCACTCAGAAATTGCTGATACTTTGAATAGGTGTTCTTCTGGGCTAACTAATAGAGACCTAAAATATTTTGTCCCCGTTTTTCAAGTCACATACTATCAACTGCTACAGGAACTCCTTTAAAATCTGTCAAAAGGGAAAGAATACTCCTAGCGGTAAATAAAATATATCTCTCAAAGGGCTTATTAAAGGTAATTTGGCATGTAGCTTGGAAATGGTAGAAACCTCAAACTACACTGATTCCTTCCTGAGTAGGTTTATATCATCAATTTACTTTCCCCTTGGATTTTTCAAGTCACATAATCAGCCACAGCACCTTCAAAATCTGTCAAAAGGGCAAAAATAGTCCTAGGGATCAATAAAATTTCTCTTAAAGGGATTACTTAACCAATGCAATTTGGCATGTAGTTTTGATAGCTAAGCTGGGCTGCAGGCTCCTTCCAAGTGAGATGTTCGTTCTGCCTTTAGTCAGTATGTGATTTGAAAACTTAAAAGAAAGAGAGAGAGAGAAAAAAATTGACCCAATTTTGAAAGATGAGATTCTGGCTCTTAAATTGCTCGATGTTTACCGATTTTGAACACAGTGTAAAATATTGGATAATAGTTAAACACTAGATTTTAATTAATCTTAAGTAGGAAATCTGAAACCGGATTTTCATTTTGAAAAAAAGATGAAAAGTTTTGAAGTAAGAAAGAAAAAAAAACTAAAAGAAAAGAGGCGAAGAAACTTCCAGGAATAATTGAAATTCATCACAATGAAGACAAAAAACTTAGTTTTTTTTTTTTTTTTTTAAATTCAGACAAACCTCCAGAAAGCCACTAAAACACTTTTCGGCTCATGCCCACCCACAAGTCTCCTTCTTTCCGGACTCACTAAAATCTACATCTAACATGTTCGACATACCAAACTATGGAGGGTCTTTTGTCAGTTCTTGAAATTTTCTGTTCAACGAGAACAAAGTCATTAATGCCTGTTATGTATTATTTTTTTTAGAATTCATCCACCCTGCGCCTGCTTTCCTGGAGTCCAACCTGGTAAAATGAAAGCTACTAGCACTCTGTGATTTGACTGTTTTTTTTTTATATGATCAGTCATTAACAGAGATTTAGCAGCAGAATCCCATCATCGAGATCTTGATAAAAGATCCTTAAAAATGCTTGAAACAGCAGAAGCGCTGTCTAAGATTTTTATCTCTTTACTTTTAAAAAGTAAAAAGGCTAGTTTAAAATTTTCAATGAGTATATTGACTCCTTTATGAATAAGAAGGGAGGACATTGGAAGTGTTGAGAATTTTGTGAATTCCGGTACTTTAAGTGTTTTACAATATCGGATGATTGAAATTTAAAGATCTTACCTTTGTTGGAGAGCTCGATGCATTCGGTGGTGAGTTTTCTCATACTTTTCCTTTGTTGCATGCAAGTTTTGCCGTCCACTCATATATTTGCAAATAAATGGACTGGACTGCTGAATGGATATTATTTTCTTGCAAAATATACTGATGAGATATCAACCAATTATAAGAGAAAGGGCTTCAAATGTAACTAGTTAAGTGATAAAAATGGCATTAGGAATTTTTCGCTGACTGATGTTTTTTTTACCAGGTGAGGTTATCAAAAGTCAATGACATAATCTGCGGGGGAATAAAATTCTACAATTCTTGGTGCGGGGCTTTGAAACAATTTTATTTCATTCCTGCGGGGGATTGCAAAAATTTTGTTTCATTGCCCCGCACCATAAGTTTTATTGCAATGCCCCGCATCTTGCGGAGCAATGAAATTCCAGTTTGTTTCATGGGGCAATAATCTGCGGGGGATTGACACGTAATCCCGAAAACGGACCAACGCCCATCAAGCAAGTGTCAACAAAACGGTGGATGATGAAGTAGATGAACTCTTGTACGTTCCAGTTAATTACATTCACGAGAAGGTTAATTCCGAAATTTGTGGGAGACCTAGTCTCTATTCGTTCGATTCTCAATTAACATGTGATCCTTATAATTCCAAAAGTCATATGATCTCGTTAAGATCAGAAGTTAATTCTAATTCTCATGTAATTCACAATTCAAAAGAGCATATGATCTCGGCAAGATCAAAGGTTAACTCAACTTCTCTTGTTGTTCATTCTTCTAATATTAGTTCGGCACCGCTCACAATGAAAGTGTTGATTAACAAAGTTCCAATCGAAATGGAAATAGATTCAGGTGCGGGAGCAAGCATTATGCACAGTTCAATTTTCCGCAAATCTTTCGCGAATGTCGTGTTAACTCCCTCTTCAACAGTGATATCGTCAATCACCGGCACAGTACAAGTGGAAGCGCCAAGCTAACATGTTGGTCGAATCTTCAGGTAACAATTTCAACTTACCTTTAGTTGTTTATGCAAGTGAACAAAAAGCAATTCCACTCATGGGTCGTTTGTGGTTAGATTCAATTTTTCCGAATTGGAGAAAAGCGTTTGATCTCACTATGTTTTCTACGCCAGAGATGGTAGCTAACATTCATGAAGTGAATTCTCCGTCCGTTGACGAACTGAAATCCTTATTTCCTCGGACATTCAATACTATTGCGGATACAGTTATAGAAGGTCATTCAGCAAGACTACTTCTGAAAGATAGTGCGATTCCAGTTTTCAATAAGGCTTATACATTGCCGTTCGGTTTAATTGAGCCAGTAAATACGGTACTCAATGAATGGGAAAAATCTGGCAAAGTAGTGCGAATTCGACAAGCCGAATGGGCTTCTCCGGTCGTGGCAGTCGAAAAGAAGGACAGCGGCGGTGTGCGAGTGTGTACCGACTTTAAGAGGACCCTGAATCCTCAGTTACGGGTTGATCAATATCCTTTACCGCGTCCCGATGATTTGTTCGCTAACTTGGCTGGTGGAGTTATATTCACTAGTCTTGATTTAAAAGATGCTTACACGCAATTGAAGTTGCATCCGGACTCTCAAGATTTGTGCGTGTTAAATACTCATCGTGGGTTATACAAGCCAAGTAGGCTCATGTATGGAGTAGCTAGCGGCGCTCCAATATTCCAGTGCGTTATGGATCAAACTTTATTCGGCATTCCGGGCACTCAGTGTTTCATCGATAATATCCTAATTCAAGGAAAAAACTTAGCGGAGTGCGTGCATCGAACCCTTTTAGTTCTTGGACGTTTAGACAAACACAACGTGCGACTAAGTTTGCCAAAATGTCATTGGTTTGTCACGCAAATCGAACATCTCGGTTTCATCATTTCTAAGGAGGGGCGATCCCCTGCTCCTTCTCTAACTTCAGCAGTCGTTAACTGCAGAGTCCCAACAAATGGTAAAGAAGTGCGATCCTTTCTCGGTATGATCGGTTTCTATTCAGATTTCTTACCGCAATTCAGCACAGTGGCGCGTCCGTTAAGAGATCTATGCTGCAAAAATACGGTTTTTGAGTGGTCATCAGAATGTGAAGCGGCTTTTCAGAAATGCAAAGAACTGCTAGTTTCAAATTCTCTATTGATTCATTATGATCCAGCTTTACCGTTAGTGGTGTATTCTGATGCAAGTCCGGTTGGTGTGGGCGCAACTTTGAGCCACACAGTGAAGATGGAAAACGGCAAGCCAATTGATCGGCCAGTGGCTTATGCTTCTTCTACGCTTGCTCAAGCACAGCGAAATTACGCTCAGCATGATCGAGAAGGTCTTTCAGTGGTGTACGCAGTCACCAAGTTTCATCGGTTCATCTGGGGACGTCCGTTTAAACTCTACACAGACAATTCAGCTATACAGCGCATTTTTAACCCTGATAAAGGACTACCTACACGCACGGGACAAAGATTACAGCACTGTGCTGTACTACTTCAGGCGTACAACTTCGAAATCGTTCATCGTAAAAGTGAATTCATGGCAACGGCTGATGCTCTCTCTCGACTTCCGGCTCCAAACCAAATTGAAGAAGTATTTCATGTAGAACTTTCTCCTAATTTACCTATTGATTCCTCAATTATTGCGTTAGCAACGCAAGATGATGTTGTATTGTCTAAAGTATTCTAGAGTACCTGTATAGCGAGAGTATGGACAGATGTGAAACTCCGAAAATCCATCAGGCCTTCACCGATGCTTCTGCGAATAAAGTTAGGGCCCAGAAATGCAGCCAACCTATGAATTTAAATTATCCAGAACGATTTACTAATACTATTGTTCCGAACCGTCGTTTATTAAGCACGTGTTTGACTCAGTTTTTGCATAAATTTACTCAATTTCGCGGAAGAACGCTCATTTCTGTACATTCTTTGCCATCATGGTTAGAATTGGAATCTGCAGACTGGCAGTGAAATTTTGTGCGTTAGAAGTTGGTTAGAAGGGTGGCTGCACTTTTGGGCCCTAAGCCCTCCATGAAGCGATCTGTCCATACTCTCGCTATACAGGTACTCTAAAGTATTCCATTATACTCATGTTGGCTGGCCAGTGAAAGACAATTTTCGTAATAATCCTGTTATTCAGAAATATTTCAAAGTCAGAGATGCCATAACCATAGTAGATAAATGTCTTTTATTTGCATCAAGGGTTATTATTCCAACTAAATTGCAGGGGCAGGTACTGAGAATTATTCATGAAGGGCATCCTGGTATTGTTCGGTCCAAATTGTTGGCCAGATCGGTGGTCTGGTGGCCAACTTTAAATACGGACATTGAAACCCTTTGTAATAATTGCTCTGCCTGTACTCAGGTTAATTTCCGCTCAACAAAAATTCATACACCCTGGCCATCAGCCAAATTCCCGATGGAAAGAGTACACATTGACTTCTATGAACAAAGAAATTTAAAATTTTTTATCTTATGTGATGCTTATTCTGAATGAATGCAAATAAAATTTTTGTGAAATTCCATAAAAAGGTTCCTGCAGTTAAAGGCATTATTGCCAAAGTTATCGGACCGAATAGATACTTAGTATTAGTTGAAGGTGTTTTAAAGCATGTCCATGCCAATCAGATTAATCGTGCGTCTAAAAGTGTGGTAGGCATTAAAAAAAAACATAATATGACTGATTTATAATGTTTGTAATTTGAACACATAAAACATTTTTTTCTTTCCTCCGACATATCTTTGTACTCAATCTCAGAAGCAACGTAATACGGCTTATTTATAATGTTTGTAGTGTGAACACAAAAATATTTTGTTCTTTCCTCCCTCATATCTTTGTACTCAATCTCAAAATATTTTTTTTTTTTGAGTGAAGGGTGGATGTCATGTCCAGCATTCACCAATTCCTGAGAGGAGTGTTGGTGTTCGTTAGCCCACCGAGTCTGGTGATTCTGTTCTCTTGATGGCGGTCAGGTAGAGGTTCACATATAGTTATGATCTAGCTTTGATTCAGTGTGTTGTATGAGTATTGTCGAGTTATTGGTGTTCAATACAGTCTTTCATTCATGCCTAAACCCTACGTGTTCAGTTCTTCATTCCTTCCTGTTATTGCACCGATTCCATTCATCACAGAAACATGTGATGAAAGTCGATGGTATTTTGCGTATTTTGACCGAGTTTCGTCAACTTTCTATTATGCGTTTTAAAATTACATTCATTTGAAATCGGGCGGGAAATTCAAATACCTGTTCCGGATTCATTGGTGAGTCCACAGCGCCCTTTCGGCGCCCTGTGCGGTGTTAGACTAATATTGTGCTGAAAGTTGATGGTATTTTGCGTATTTTGACCATAGAGTACAAAAGAGTCGCAAAGTACTGGAGCGGCGATGAAGCCAATCCATGAACAGGCGTTTCCGAGCCGCGTGTGCTCCGAAAATAGTGAACCATTTGTGAACCCAACGGCATTTTGTAACACGGCGGCTTATGGAGAAATCAAGACCTACTTGTGTTTTTTAGGTATTTTATAATTCAATCAGCATTAATTTTTGCAAATTTTGCTATTTAAAGGTAGTCAAAGCCATAATGAATCCATTGATGTATATTACTCCTGGATAATATTCATACTGGGATTTAATTTCTGACTTATACCAAGTGTGAACCAACCGGCATTTCTTATCACGGCGGCTTACGGGAAAAGCAACGACTGCCCGTGTTTTTTCGACATTTTTTAATTTCATCGATATTAATTTGTGCAAATTTTGCTATAATTAGATAGTCAAAGTCATAATGAATCCATTGATGTATATTACTCCTGGATAAAATTCATATAGGAATTTCATTTCTGACTTATACCAAGTGTGAACCAACCGGCATTTTTTTACACGGTGGCTTATGGAGAAATCAACGACTGCTTGTGTTTCTTCGACTTTTTTTAATTCCATCGGTATTAATTTGTGCAAATTTTGCTTGAAATAGATATTCAAAGCCATAATGAATCCATTAATGTATGTTACTCCGAGATAATATTCATATATGGACTCAATTTCAGACTTATTACCGGCCTACTTATTTTAGCTGGTTCAGTGTGTGTCTAGCCGACGAACGGAGCCGAGTCGGGACGGGACTGTCGGGAGTGGGGAGCGCTGAGCGCGAGTCTCTGCGTATGCGTCATCGCTA